AGAATCCGGTCTAAAAATAACTGATTTTAATAATTATTTAATTTTATTTAACGGAATTGAAATATATTAGGTATTAGAAATTAATGCTGAAACGCGTCATCGGCGTTGAATGTGTTATACTTAAAAAATAATAGGTACCTATTCAAATTTATTTACATTGGACTCGCTTGTTTTATTGAATACAAACGAATTTTTGATATTGATTTTTGTCTGTAGTTTTGTCTAATTTTCCCCATCTACTTTGAATTTCTGTAATAATTGTATATTTGTATCAGTCTGTATTTATGCTAAAATGAAATAAAAATATGAAAACATATTGTCGTTAATATCAGAAAACGTGTTTTTTTCCGGAGAAACTCGATTATAATTTTACCTACTAGAAACTAATAATATAAAGTATAAACATGCAGTTGTCTAGTATCTACCTTTAATTTTGTAAAACGTTTGATGTTGAATTTAATGATCCCTGTTTTACGGCTTCGAATAATCGTTAGGTACATTCAGCAATAATATTTTCACTTTTTGACCCATCAGGTCCATTTTTAGGGTGCATTAAGGGGAGGACAAATGGAGAAATTGATCAAGGCGGCAAGAGTGGTAACACATTTAAGGGCTGGAAAAATTAATATCGTTTGTAATACTTACAGTTCTAATAATTAAATACAGTTCTTATAATACTTACAGTCGAAAATCCCATTAGCCGTAGAGGGGGATCACCGCCAGGACAAAGCTGTTTTAAATACAGACTATTTTTTGCCGTTTTACCTATAAACTAAACTAATTATTAAAATTCATGAGATTAATGAAAATAAAACGTTGAAAAGTCAAAAATGTCACCAAAATAAGCTCTATAAAATGGCTATCTTCAATTGTTTCAAAAATTAAAAAATAACTTTTTTAACTTTTTTACCAAAAAATGTAATTAAATAAAGAATAAAATATGTATAGTCATTGACTCTATGAGTCTAATAAAAAAAAAAAAAATGTATGACATATTATTTATTTCAGGCAGTGGTGGTCAAATGACTTTGTTATGGGGGATATGGCTGATTTTAGATTCTGAGTGAAACGATGAATGTATTGATTTTACAATGATGTGTGTTTTTTTTTTAATTTTTAATTTTTTTTTGTGTCTGTCATCACGTTTTAGGACAGTAAAAGTGCTTGGATTTTCTTCAACAGTAGCTTTTCTGATAGGAAAGTTAATCTAGTTGGTACTTTGGGGGGGGGGGTCAAAAGCAAAAATTGTCCAGTAGTTTTCAAAAGCGCCGTGAAAAACAAAAGAAAAATTAAGGAAAAACGGGAATTTTTACGCAAAATCTGTTTTCGAGAAACAAATTGATTTTGGTTTTTGATGTAACTCCGAAACAAATGAACTATGTGCAATTTCCACTAGTTGTTTATATTTGCATTTTCTATATACGATAACATTTTGAAAATATTTTGATTTATTTTATTTTGAACTGTTTAGGGACATTTTCATTTTCCATTTTTTTTTAGTTTTTTTTCTTAAAATATCAATAAAATTTTATTTGTTGGTTAAAAAAGCTTGAAAATTTAATACAAGGCTCCTTCTATATTGTTACAATGGCATTTGAAAAATATTAAAAATCCTTTGTCACAGTTTTTTTTTATAATCATTTAAAGTTCAAAAATTGACAAAATATGGAAAAATCACGAAAATTAGCAAATTATTTTGGGTTATTAATTCGTAAAAATTTTTCTTTTTAAATCTAAGATTTAAAAATGTAATACAAGATTCCTTATAAGATTATCTTCCTTTATCAAAAAAAAAAAATGTCTATAAGAAAGTCAAATTAAATTTTTATGAGCGTTTGAAATTCAAATTTTTACAACATTGGATATTCATTCGATTTCTCATGTAGCGATTTTCTTATTTTGTTGTAATTCAAAAACGAATAACTGTAGATACATGAAAATTTCACGGATTGTTTATATTAGCATTTCCTATACACCATATAATTTTGAAAACATTTTGACACTTTTTGAGCTGTTTACGGACATTTATAGCTTTCAATTTTTTTTAGTTTTTTTTCTATAAATATCAATAAAGTTTTATCTGTTGGGCCTAAAAGTGTAAAAATGTAATACAAGGCTCATGATATATTGTTACAATAGGAATTGAAAAATATTATAAATACATAGGTACATTTTTTTTTATAAGCATTTAAAGATTAAATCTTGACGAAATTTATCAAATTTAAAATTGAATTATTATTTTGTAGTTAAAAATTTATAAAATGTTCAACTTTTATATCTAAGGATTGAAAATTTAAAACAAGATTCCACGTAAGTATTTAATTCTGTTACCAAAAAATCTAAAAAATACATACTCACGGTTTATTTTTATAGTCATTTTAAATTCAACTTTGGACAAAATTACATAAAAAAAAACCTAGAATAACTATTTTAGTTATTTTGTTGTGATTGTGTAATATTATTCATGGGTACTTGAAACTTCTAAAGTACACTATTATATATCTATGGAGTATGGACTATGATAGTATCAGGGTTTGTTGTTGACGTATAACGCATTATAAGGACCTAATGGATATTGTGATATGATTAATTTGGAATTTATTATAGGTACCTATTTGAGGTAATTTTTTCCGATAGATAAGTATATAATCTGTATTATACCTAGACTGACATACCGTCTCCGCTCAGAATCGTTTTTCTTATACAATGATATTATATCATTGAATTCAAATTTAAAACTATCCATTATACAGTGACCCACTTGTAACCTACTATACTGCAGAGCATAGTTTTTCAACATGCATTATTCATATTTTATCATTAATAATAAAATGTATGACTATGTCTAATATCAATTTATAAAATGATGGTTAATACAAACTTTATTTATAACTTAGGTTTACAGACTTTATAAATATAGGTATTATAATATTAATAATATCTTTATTATTATATTAGTAAATCTATTTTTTGTTTTTTTTTGTTTTTGCTAATTCGTCCAGTATTTCGTTGTAAATGTTTTATTTATATTTATACGATGAACAGCCATAGTAAAAATATTATCACTAAGTCCACAACTTGATTTTCTGTAACGATATTAGTGATCTTACTTTTTTTTTCATCCGCCGAGCGTTTGGAAGTAGAGCAACTTGCATCAAAATAGCTAATAATTTTCTTTTTATTAGACATAGTAGTTGTGAAAATGTAAAATAGACAAAATAGTCAATATTACAAAAGACACCGACCATATAATAGTTATACACTTTAGTACACTACACGGACACACTGTAGAAAACACGAGTACGAAAGAGTAAAGACGAATCACGGTGATACCTAAACATTATGACTTATGAGTTATGACAAATAATAAGCAATCGATGTTTCAAGTTTTCAACCAACTAATGACCTGGCCCTGGACCTACGTAATATTGGAAGATATACCTACCGATCGCACTATCACCCTTATGGGCCAATGTTCTGGGAAAGTGAATAGTTGGATGTTATTGAGAATTCTCGATCATAGAGTGGGATAATTATTCCCATATTATATTTTGTATAAACAACTAAATATTAATAATAATATAGTCATGTCATATAAACACGTATACAAATATTCTGAAATTCTGTCGAAATATACAATAGTTGATAATTTGTTTTTTAAAAAAAAATAGAACAAAATTGAATGCACTATAAAATATACTTGTTATAATTAATATTGAAAAAAAATTAAAAAATTATGTAGGAATCTATCCCCACTCACCCCCACCCCCTCCCCATTTGACCACAACTGATCTCCGGAGATATCGCAATGGGGCAGTGTATATTATACAACTAGCTGACATGGCAATGCTTTGCTATTGCCTATTGAAAGGTTTTTTGTGGTTTTTCAACTCCAAACAATACAAACAATTGATCCACCGAAACCATGGTTCGAACTCGATACATTCTGTAACGAACAGGGACAAATGGACGCGGCCGTTTGGACGCGACCATTTGGACGCAGCCGTTTGGACGCGAGGTCATTTAGACGCGGCCGTTTGGGCGCGTGGACATTTGGACGCGAAAAAAACATATATTATATTATAACCATAATCGATGTTATGGAATTGTATTAAGCCTATTAGTTGTACTTTTATCGTGTCTATATATTATCTATTATTAAGTCACCCATTTCTGTTTGCCACAATATATACATTATACTTTTATCGCGATATTAGGAATTATCCGACGTTATCGAAAAACGATATCGAGAAACGACATAGTTGATAAAATCCACTTGCAAACCAACGACAATTTTAATTGACCGAAAGCAGTGGTTAGATTTACATTACTTTTACTATAATATATTATAATATTTGAGTTAGCTATGGCCTTAATGAAGTCAAATCGAAATGAATACATTTTTACTGAAAAAAATTGTGACTACAGATAATTTATTTTAGCTCTAGCAAAATCGGTTTTGTCGAAAATCAATGTTGCGTAAAAATTCCCGTTTTTTTCTTAAAAAAAAAATTAAAAAAAACACACATCATTGTAAAACCAATACATTCATCGCTTCGCTTAGAATCTAAAAATGTATTTATTTATTTATTTAATTTATTTTAAATTAGGGTGCAATTTCATCAAGTCAAGCATTGAAAAAAGTAGTACGACGGAAACGAAAAGAAATTCAAGCATCACCAAATGCACCACAAGATCTACTAACTTTGGAAATACCAGATTCCTTTAAAGTGTACTCACCATCAACAGGTTTGACTGAACCATTTTTACTTGACGATAGTGGACCAGGCGTCGATCGTATTTTAATTTTTGGAAGAAACCGTAGTTTAGACATTTTATACAATTCAAAAGTTTGGTAATGTGATGGAACGTTTAAAATCGCTCCAGCTATTTTTTCTCAAGTTTTTGTGATACTTGCTGAAGCTTTGGGTGGTGTACACCCACTTATATACGCTTTATTGCCAAACAAACAAGAAAAAACGTACACTCATTTATTTAAAATGTTAAACCAATTAAAGCCAGGATTAAACCCGACTTCAATATCTTGTGATTTTGAGCAAGCAATACTAAAATCTATAAAAACTGAATATCCTAATACTGAAATTTATGGTTGTCTTTATCATTTTTCCAAAAATGTTTATAAAAAATTATGTGACCTAGGGATTGTGTCAAATTATCGAAATAATTCTGATTTTTCAATCTTTGTGAAAATGGTTGTAGCATTGACATTTATTCCAATTAATGATATTGATTTGGCAATTGAATCGTTGTCGGGATACTTACCAGACGAATTACAGCCCTTACTAGACTGGTTTGAAGACAATTATGTTGGACGAATTAATAGAAATCGAAGAGGTCGTCGATTACCTTTATTTCCTCCTAATATTTGGAGCATGTATAACAGAGTTTTGAATGGAAAAAATAGAACCAACAATCACGCCGAAGCTGCTAATCGAAGACTAAACATGGAGATGGGCGTTAACCATCCAAGTTTGTGGTCTTTTATAACGTGTCTTCAAAAAGTTCAGTCAGGTAGAGACTTTTATTATAGTCAATTAGAAGCAGGAAATAGTCCCCCTAAAAAATTAAAAAAATATATTGATGTTGATAAGAGAATTTTAAAAATTGTTCAAAATTATGAACAAAGTGAAATTTTAACATTTTTGAGAGGGATAGCCCAAAATATTTCAGTACATAAATAATTTGTAATCGATGTAATTAATTGTACTGTAATTTTTATTTTACTGTAAATTTGATGTAATTTTTATATTACTGTAAATTAGATATAATTTTTATTTTACTGTAAATTCGATGTAATTTTTATTTTACTTTATTTTATTTTACTATTTTTATATGTATTATTATTTATGTTTTTTTCGCGTCTAAATGTCCCCGCGCCCAAACGGCCGCGTCTAAATGACCTCGCGTCCAAACGGCTGCGTCCAAACGGCTGCGTCCAAATGGCCGCGTCCATTTGTCCTAGATCGATTCTGTAAGTACTAAAATACACAGGCTTACCTATCGCCTTAATAATAATAATTATTAGTATAAAAACCAGTTGCAACTATAAATTATTTACAAACAAAAAATAATAATAATTAACTAAAAATCAATGTTTGAGAACCCCCCAGCTTGGACCAATTATTTACCTTTTTTCGAGACAAAATGTTAGCACGGTTTTTTCATATTCGAACACAACCGGAACCGAAACCAAAAGTTTTAAAACATCGGTTAAAAACATGTAACTGAAACCTAAAAACTTAAAAAACAGTTTACGAAACTCAAACCGAAACCATAGAATTGAAAATCCGTTCTTAAAACCAATTAAAATTATTTAAACCTAATATTTACCTAAATTCTTCAAATTTTATAAAGTTAATTACCTATACATAATTTATAATTCTAGTTAAAACGAGTAGGTACCTATTTTTATGCGAATAAAATATTTTGTTTGAATCCTGATGCTATTACTGTAATATTACAAAATATCATTCTATTTATATATTATGATATTATTATTTATTACTATAGAGTTATTGATTCAAAATTGAATACAAATATCACAATTATTGTTATTTTTTTCATCACTATGTGGCTATACACGTCTGTATTGTATTGTTGTATTGCTGTATTTGAAATATTTGAAGTATTTGTCTATATTATTATTTATTAATTTTTTTAAAACTGTTTCGCATTCGGCTGATTTGCGTCTGCAGTCCTGTCGTCATCAATCGCTTACGTCATTATCATCAGACTTCTCAGAGTGTCCTCTGAATTAAAAATGTGTGTACCAAATTCTATAACGTACCTATGTATTTGAATGTTAACAGCAAGCCTTTTTAAATAACAATATTTTCAATAGTCCATTACGCTTTTTTAGTATCCATTTATAAATTATTATTTTGTTCAAATATCATAAGCATTAATCACATAACAAGAGATTTACTATACTGTAATATAGTGTCATGTTGTTGTAAATTACAATTAAATATGAATGTACTGAAACTGAACCAAATGTTGTATGCAAAAGTAGTTTCAACATATTAAAGTTATAAACAATAAACGTTATGAGACATTTAAGGTCCACCGGAATTGTTTGGATGAAAGTCCATTATATCTTGGTCCGTGATTAAAATTTAAAATAATAACTTAAGGGGACGTCGCATCCGCATGTGTTGTACTCGTTATATAGGTACGCGTACGGTATAACAAATTTTCGTTCACTAGTTTCAATATTGTGTGGTCAGTTATGATATTAGAGTGAATTGACGTCATAGATTATCTATGATTGACATAGTATCAAACTTTTAAGCAATAACATTACCTGAGTTTCTCTTTTACGATATTTTAATTTTTAAGTGAATTAAAACATTAATATTTGAAATTGCACATAGGTACTATAAATATAAATAATTCTGTTATTTGTTAATATCCGTCGTTTTATTTAAGCAAGTAAATAAATATTATATATTTTACTAGCTGATCCCGTGCACTTCGTTTCCCGTTAAATGTACCAACTCTATATGACTCAAACATTGTTCAATGCGTTATTTAATATACGGTGTATGATGTTCTAGATTTATCTTAACTTTTCTGTTGCCCGGAATAAAAATTCTGAATTGCAGCAGTACATTATCAGATAGGTAATTTACCTGCGGTAGATTGCGGACCCCGTGCTGTTTGTACGTAAGTGTATGATTTAACTCAAAAAGTACCAAAGTTATACCAAGTTTGACGTTTTTACTTAATTCCACCTACCTATAAATCCTAACCTAACCTAACCGTACTAAAATCCGATGAATAAAAAAAACCAAATTTAACCCTTTTTAAATTAGCGTATCTTCTTACCATAGGTCTAATCTACACACCGTCATTCATTTATATTATATAAGATATATTTACAAAAAATAATTATACAAATCAACAAACATGCCCGATTAACCAATAGCAACCAATATAATATAATACACCATAGAGTAAATAAAGACAACGGTATCGAGTTCAAATCCCAAACGTCAATAAATAGTTTTTGCAGTTTTTCTAATTATTCGGTTGACTTTTTAAAAATTTTTTTTCGTAAAAACCTTCACCTGGTAATTACGAAAATCTTAAAAAAAATTTGAGCAAAATCGGCCCAGCCGTTATCAACTGATGCAATTTCGAATTTTTTGTCTCCATTTTTATATATATAGATTATTTCATTATGTAACTTAAATGTAATTTTCATTGCAATTTTAACATATTTATAATGCAATTTTGACATATTTTGAACGCAGTTAAATCCAGTCTTTAGTAAAACTAATTACATCCGAATCTCTCCTATGCGGAATGTAAGTTACTTGGATATTTCAAATTGTAACATTTTTAATATGATTGGTTATGACTTCCGACTTATTTATTATAATATACTTTAATTATACTATATACGATTTGCTTATAATAGTACAAAGTAGTTTTAAGAATTATTACCAGATATCGCCATATCGGTGGGCTAGCATTAATACTAAACTTGTGTTCTCATTTGTGAATATCATTGTAAGTGGTATATAAAATAATTTGATAATTTTGATATGCTTTAAAGTCAGTAGAGTTCTCTGCAGGAGGGAGGTTAGTGGTTATGTCCCTCCCCCCTCAACAGTCCCATAAATCCCCTTATTTGTGTCTTATTTGGTACTGGCAATACAATTAATTTCTATAAATGTATTATTTCTAGAGTTGGGATTTTATACATTATTAATTATTATTATTCATATATTTCTTATATGAAAATCTCAGAGACAGTAGAGTAAGCTTAACATTTATTTTGTTTCATATCTCAGAAAACTGAAAAAAAAATTTTACTTTGCATATTTTGAGATTTTTTAGATTTCAGTGCTAATTCTGGACTTAAAGAGATATTTTTTAATTTAACCCAATTTTTTACCAAAATTGGTCATATAGGTAATAAAATACATTTATAATAATAAACGTGTTTTTGATTATTATCTAACTTGAAAAGTAAATATAGTAAATATAGATTATGTAAAATAGCCAGGGTTGCTAAAAAACGTTTTAAAAGTTTAAAATGTTTCAAACAATATTTTTTTTGTTTAAAACCTTTTTTTTTAAATGTTTTTTAAATAGCTGACCGACTACATAGACAAGCTGACGCATCATTTCTTATTAGATAGGTAGATATTTGGTTTTAATTTTAAAGTTTTGTCATTTGCCAATTTTGACGATTATCACCAAACGAATATTGAAAGCATTAGGTAAACTATATTAATACAATTGTCTACTTGACTATACCTAATGTAATTACTTTTATCTATTAAAGTTGTGTTTTCGGTTGAAAGTGTTGTGTTTATTCTTTGTCACGCGTCAAATTGTGCTTAACTTTGTTTTTATATTCAAATTATTGCATATTTTGTTGTTTTTATTGAATATTTTTAGCACATATTCAGCTATACTTAAAATAATATTATAGCACTCTAGAAGTAAATACGGGGATGGTAGGGGTAGTAATGGTCTAATTGATCTATAAAATACAAACTTAACTTATTATATATTAATATATATTTTGATGTGCGGTAGCTACGTTGTTAAAGTATACCATACTTAGTCTTATTGGAAGGTACAAATAATATAATAACTACCGTACATCTGATTACACTTAACAGTACCTGTGCACCACCTAAGTCTACCACCACAGAATATAATATATAATAAATATAATATATAATTATGACCATCAGATGCGAGATGCAGGAAGCACTATGTGCCCCTCTACTTTCGTTAAATCCAATCAAAGTTAAATATTCATTTAAGTATTCACTTCGGTCGTATGTACTAAAACACAGGTTTTTTGACCATTTTAATTACCTATTATTGAAGAAAATAGGTACTTAATAGGTGACAGCGGACCATCTTACTCTTTGTCAAATCCTCGAGTTATACCTCATTTCTATTACGTGGTATATACCAAACGTGTCGTGGTTCATAGAGGTGCAGTAAAGTAGGCCATCGACTGCCATGCTGCCATGTGAACACTCGGCAGTGTTGACTATGGTACGATATTTGGCGAGGATTATGGAAATTTGATAATCCGTACAGTGAGCTCCTGGATTTTGGTGCCTTTAGGCTACAACCGTGGACCTTCTTTTAGCAGCTGAGCGCTAGTCAAGAGCCGCGAAGGCTTCAGTCGCCGACTTCGGCCCGGTTTTATCCGTCACCCGACGACTGGCTGTCAGAGGTGAAGGGCTCACCGGCGGTGGCCGTTCCCCGCCTACCGTGAAGGCAGCCCGAGTTGCATTGCTGCCCGCTCCGGACGCCCGCTGGTTACGGTATCACCGGCTATACTAGGGCACTATAGATACAGGTATGCTACGCTGCCATTTTGCGACTAATAATCTTATGTGAATATGAATTTCTCCCCCTTTATTTTATCATTTTATCATTGATAAAAGAGTCGCAAAATGGTGGCATAGCATACCCATGGTGTAGAGCCTTAGCTATACCAGCGAAAACCACAAGCCCGCAGGATTCCGACTCCACGGATGAAATCCGAATAGTCAGGTGGACGACGGCTCTAGCTCAGCCTTGGACAACCTGACACCCGCGCTATCGTTCATAATGCATCATCGGTAGGACATGCCTCGACGACAACGTATACCGAATTAACGGGACTCTACGGGAGAAGAGCCGCCACCGTGTAGTCCCTAAC